GGAGCTTACTATAAAAGCGCACCCAGCACTCAGATTTGAGCTCTGCCTTGTGGTGATGATGATTCAGCAACAATAAATCTAGGTAAAAGAATAAATTGACTTTGCTTATAGAGCCAGAAATGGGAAGTGACACCCCCAAAAGACTTGCCTCCTTCCTGAGAAATTTTAAAGATCTGAAAAATTTTCCTACTATTAGGACTGGTGATAGTAGGCACATTAGTGAGCACCTTGTTGATGTTATGTTCTTAGCTTGTCAGCTCTCCAAATGCTGACAGAGAGCTGACAGATTCTAGAAATGTTGCTGTTAAAAAATAATTAAAAAAAAAACCCAGTCAGAGGCCTGACTACTGTAGCTTTTAGCCAGTCTTGGCTATATTTGAAGTATCTAGTAACTAGACTTAAAACAAAAGCAAAAGATGTGCCCAGTGTTTCTGAAGATAGCGGTTTTCTGAGCTGCTGGCCTCACCTTAGTGTTTAAGTTCATAGGTCTGTCACAGCTGTTTCAGACTGCGTGGGTGCATTGATCAGCAGCAGCAGCTGACTGCCAACTGAAATGCTCTCCAGTTTTTCATGCCCATTTAGCAACCTGACCTCCCTGCTAACTGTAGCTCTTCTTGCAGAAAATTTCATGTTTAAAATTCATAATCTGACAGCCTAGGTCACACAGGTTCCTCCTTAGTTCCCAGCTGTATCCATGGGCTACATCTGTCTTTTGGGGAAACTGTCCCTCCAGCTCTGTTCTCCTACTAAGCTGTTTGCAGTAGTGGTGAAAAAGGCCCTGAAAAGCTGAAGGGGGAAAAAAAAAAGGAGGGTGGTTGGAAGGAGGACATTTTTCAGTTTTTAAGAGGAGGGATCACCTCAGCCATCCCTTCCTCGTGTAGGCAGGGCTAGGGAGGCCAGTGCAGCCTCACTTGGCAGGATTGCTCTGAGAGAATTGCTGACATATATATGCTGATATATCTATATATATCTCGGGGAACAACCCAATGAAAAATAAATGAGAGGAGAGAACTTGTCAGGCAAGAGTGGGCATAGTGTTGGAAATTCTTGCTTGCAAGTTCTTTATCTGTATAAATCAGAGGCGTATATCTCATGTACCTTGGGAGGAAGGGAAGAGAGAGTCTCCTTAGCACATCTTTAAGAGTAAGAGCATGTTAGATCATTTTCTGCAGGGCTGTTTTGTACTTAAACACTGCATTATTGTTTCTTAATGTTACTGCAGATCTTCATTTTATCTAATTTGTTCTCAGTTTCCACTGCAGGTAGTCCTCTTCTGTCACCTTTGCCTCTTTCCTGTCACCTTTGCCGCTTTCCCTCAGCCATGAAGTGATAAGAGCAAGAGCAGGCTAGTTCTTGGAAAGGCCATGGCTTTTATTCTTTCTTACTTATTTAAGTCCAGAGGGTTCTTCAGCTTGTGTCAGTCAAAAAATAATAAATGATATAATTTTCTCAATTAGTCAGGAGGGAGTCTTTTAACTTTGAAGGAGCTTTGTAAGGTTGGCCTCTGTATCTGGCCACTCAAATGCAGTTTAGTTTAGACAGGCATCACTTCAGTCTGTTCTGTCCTCATTTAAAAAAAAAAAATTAGTTATTTCCTATGTCGCTTTTATTATGAGGACTGTATACTGAGACAAAGTTCTGTTGCAGCACTGAGAATGAAGTGGCTTTTGGATTATCATCAAGCACAGATGGGTGATGCTAGGGAAATCTGTTGTAAGCCCGAGGTGAGGTTTCTGATACAAAGGTGTGATGTCTTATCATAGAAGAGTGGTAATAAAAGATGGAGAAGCCATAATGAAAAACAAGTGATGACCCGGAACAAAAGCCTAATTCTTATTGGAGCCCCTTGAGGTTTCTGATCTCTCTTTCATGCAGGCTTCAAAGATCTGGAAGTCCATGTGAGACCTGTTGAGAAATTCCCATAATTACTTCCAGGTTTTATTTCCAACAACTGGCCAAGGTCAGGTCCTCTTCTCCCACAGTGATGCAGAAAAGCTGCTTTATAAATAGCTTTTCTGTTCATCTCAGGGAGTGGCTAAGAGCATTCATGGATCCTATCAGTTAAAATCCAGTTACTTGTGGAGGAAGGTCTCTGCACTGCTCCTTCCTTCCATCACAGAGTAGTTCAAGGAGATTCTGGCAAGGATGAAAGAGGGAACCTTTGCCAGAGGGTCATTTTCCTATCCCATATTAAGATCTTTTGTTCAGCAAAGAGATGATGATCACTGTGATTTGTTTGAGTTTTTTGAGTTGTGGACATTTTATTCTCAGAAATATTATTTAGAGGTAGTAAAAAAAGCTGATTCTAGCCTCTGTCTCGGCCAGGGCCCTGGTGACTGATCTTTTGCAAAGCTGGAGAAAGGTCCAGCTGGTAGAACCTGCAGCTTTTTCTGTTACTGGCCAAGTCACAACAAGGTGTAGGACTAAGAAAAAAGCAGTGACTTTGACTTGTTGCCCGAAGAGATTTATACCTCTCAGGCTTAATTAATCTAGTCTTGCATCTCTTAGTGCATCTGCATCATGGAATGGCTCAGCTACGGATAGCCAACCCCGTCCCCCCAGCCACAGCACAGAGCAAGATTGCTGTGAATGCTTCAATTCCCTGGTTGTTGCTTTCATGAGCTCTGGAAGAGAAGGAATGCACAGAATTTACTTTACTGATGGCAGGAATACTACTGTAATAAGCCAGTGAGGCCAGATTTGAAGTTTTCCCTCAGGCCCTTCTTGGGAAAATAAAAAGGTCCAAGTAAAGAGATCAAGACCCTAGCATATTTAAGAAAAGAATTGTAGTATTATTGTTTAGACTTCTATAAAATTCCAGTCCTGCACAGTTTATGGAACAAATAACCTGTTCAGTGCTATCTAAATTGAACACCCGAAGAAACAGAAATGTTACTTATATTCAATAGGCAGACGTAGCAGCCACTCAGAAGGCCTAAGCATTTTGCTTAGTTTTTAGTCTTTTTGTTTATTTCTAACTGGGAACTTTCTCTAGTTCTGCATTCATATTCCTTTCAAGTTTTGGATACAGAAAATCTCAGAGCAGCATATGATGTTTTTTCTGCTTAACAGATTTGCTAAAAATCCTGGCCTGACACATGATTCCTGATTTCCTTTCCTAGTAGCACCCTGGTTTTGAAACAAATTTAACAGATGAGCCCTTTGCATCCGGGATCGTGAAGTTGTGCCTGTAGGCCTCAGGACTTGCAGTGGTTTCTGTGGTTCATCAGAGAAGCTCAAAGTAGCCCTTGAAGAAGATGCTATGTTTTACTGGTTAGTCATGTTCCTGAGGTGTGAATTGCCAGGAAGACAAGAAGTCTCCCCCAAAACAAGTCACTGCTCACCAGAGTGAGAGAAAGTTGTTGGATGGAGACTGTCTGTTTCTTAAAACCAAAGCCATCGCTTGAGTCCGGGAGGCAAAAGCAAAGAATTCAATTGTTAGTATTAAAAATTTTATCATAGATACTTTCATTGACTTCATAAAAATATTTTTTCTTTAGGTAGTTCCTCTATTTGGTTTTGAAGGGTTGTTCTAGTGTAGGCTGGAAATCACATGCAGATGCTTTCAGCTCAGGAACACTGCTTCGTTCTGTTTCTGTTGCTTATACACATCAGAGAATCATAGCAGCTGAGGCATTATGAAGATTTTGTAAAAATTCCCACATGCTCCAGAACTTGCAGCCCTTTTATAGCGATCCAGTAGACTTTGCCCAATCTTAGCGCCATTTCTTTCCTTTTGGCAGAAATGCAGATAATTTTTGAGTAACATTACTTGCTTATCCAAGGGAA